CCTATCGTCATATCGCAGATAGCATATCATCTCTCCTACCCTACCTATTTTCTATAAATATTATCGTTACATTAATGTGACGCAGAAGAAAAAAAGAAAAAATCTTAAAGTATAAAGAAGGCGATGCGTGTCCCGCATATCGATTATTGTGTCGCGTTTTTTTTTTTTTTTTTTCCTATCGAAACATTCAAACGAATGTTGTACCATACCATTCATTTATATATATACTTCGTATATCCCTCCCTTTCCAGAGAGTTACTATATATTTATCCTATATATATTTATATATAATATATGTATATCTTTTTCATCTTATCACTGTTGCAGTAGGCGCAGTAGAACACGTGCTCGGACGTCTTTCTTCCCTCTCTTCTGGAGAGATTCCGAATGGAAATCGGAGCGTATGTATTACTGACAGCACGGCTAATCTCCTATGTAACGATGCGCCTATCGCTGGAAGCGCCGTGTAATAAAAATCACGAACTAAAGGAAGCGAGAGTTCTTATCTACGCTTGGCAGGATGCAGGCACTTTTGATCAGTTATACGGCGTATGATTCCGTTACAATTTATATCTCTCGAGTCGAACATGTGCGGATGCCTCTCCATCGTGCGCAACTGCAACTCTAGATTAACGAAGGCACCGCTAGCTCAGTTTTGGCACATTTTCGATGTCTTTAAGCAAGTTAATGATCACGAGAGTGTTGACGCACTTTCGCAGGAATGACATGTTTTTCATGGAAATGACATTCTTCTTTCTCCCCCCCCCCCCCCTTCCTAGAATTTAGTCTCTATTAAGAAACGCCTAGAGTGTTGAGAATTTTCATGAAGTAGAAAAAGGTGCAAGTAGAAAAGTATTGATTTTATTTTCTTTTTTTTTTTTTTTTTTCGTTCAAAAAAACGTCCGCAGTCTTTACTGGAATGTCGATTAGTTGTACAGAAAGGAATGCATTTTACACTTATAATACTAGATAGGCACTTGTTAGAGATGAACGCATACGGCGCGGGTGTCGCGGTTAATTTTCTAGGAAACAATGAAGGCAATGCTGGCTAAGGCAATTGTTACTGCTGCTGAAGAAGCGAAAATAAAGCGAGGCAGAAGAAGGGAAGAAGTTTCGCGTACTGACGAAAAAGAGAGAGAGATATATATATATAATAATATTATGCGAAAGTCCTACAGTTCTCCAACGGATGATTAATAGATCGAAGCCTCGGAGAGAATAACGCGATATACAATACGCGGACAACGTCGTGTTCGCCGTTAATGATAATTCTACCTTGCGTATACATCTAAAGGCGATACAAAATCACGGCGACATGGAGTGTTTCGATTACCTGGCAGTCTTACTTTGAGCATAGATCTCTCTCGTGGAAATGTTCTAGATGGCAAAAAAGCGAATAACATAACGTCGCGTCGCATTCTTCTTCTCGCTAAGTAACTTCTTATACGCTATAATCCACTCGTATGTTCCACGCACGTTTTTCCGCCTCCAAAAAAATTTGCATTTTTATGTATTCAAAATCGTCGGAACCGTCGTCGCGCATTACAATAAGTTGTCGAAATTTCCGTATTACGTGGCACCCATATCCACGCTGAAGGTTGAATAACGCGGCTTCCAGGAATTTCTTCTTTTAAACTGTAAACTACATTTGTGGATTTCATTTCCGTTTCAAGGAAATCCTGATCTAACCGTTATGTATATACCGATAAGGAGATATCGAGAAATAATAACGTGTGTCGTTTTTTTTCTGTAGCATTGTGTTCGGTACAAGATTGAGATAAGAAAACGTTTTGCCAAAAAGGAGGTTTAGACCGATCGTATCAGTTTTCTGAATAGGCCGCGGGCGCTTTAGACATACGAGCATTAATATTCTAACATTCTAAAGCGTTCTCAATTCTCAATTATCTCGGTTGCGTGTTATCTTGATATAAAATACCTCGGACGATCGTCTCGAGGTGCGAATCAACCGGCTGTTAACTTTTCACGTTCTTACGAAGCAGAAAGTATCGCTGACTACAGGCGGTACTACCGCGGGTCGTCACGTTTCGATCTTTGTCGAATAATACAAGCGAGTCGGCACACTCGGCTCGGATAGTAATGCGATATTACGTATTCCACGTGTGAACACACATCAGCGGGATATTAAAGGTAAGCGTTGGAGGAGCACGGAATTTATATTTACGCGTGGAATATACGAATATGGCAAATGATCGCGCCCTTTCCCTTCACTTTTATCTCGTTTTACCTCTACGTACTGAAATATTCTTTCACTTTTATCTCGTCTTTACCTCTACGTACTGAAATATTCTAAACTATCACTTGAAAACCTGCGTGATGTCGACGGACGAGTGAAGTAAAAGCAACTGCATTTCACGTCGTTTACATCGTGCGTAATAATTTAGGCATCATTCCTCATGCGGTAAATGTTGGAAAACGCGTCGCGTTAGAGCATCGCCGCAATATTACAATACCAATCGTCGATTCATGGTACAGTCTTATATATAATCAAAAATAAAAGAAAAAAAAAAAAAACAAACAAAGAAAAATCGCTGGCTTGTGACGTTGCAGCTTGGTCCCTCGACACATCACTTCTGTTAAGTCCGTATTATAAAAAGAGTAATTGACGAATGCGTACTTGTATAACTTGGTCCATCAAAAATACACATTAATTTTACAATTGTAAAAGGAGAAGAATCGACGCGTGTGAGATACAGCGCGTCAGTTGTAACCTAATTTAACAATCTAGTTTCTCGCGGTACTCGCATATACAAAATCGCGAGCACGTCTTTTTGTGCGTGGAATGACGTAACCGTGGAAGACAACGGACGCGCATCAATATCTACGCATTTACGCACATTACATTCAAATATACGCATACACACGCACACGCGCGCAGCTCTCCCTCGCTCATTTCATTTCCTTCTCTGCTTTTTCTCTCTCTTTCTCTTTCACATTCTCTCTATACGCTCACATACACGTACAAGTTAATTTTTTTCCTTTCTCTCTGTATAACACATAGCGATCTACAATATACACGCGCTTTTAAGATATGAAAGAAAATCAGGATGATCGATAGCATAATGAAAACCAAAAAGTTAGATTAGGTTTGCGGGGGGCGGCGCGCGCGAAAGCGATCGAATTGCGGAGAGAACCGAGAAACCGGTGTACGAATGCGCGGATGCTGAATTTTTTTTTTTTCTTTTTCACAAAAACTCGTGAAGTCTCCGGATCGATAAATCTCTCCACGAAAGACACGAAAGATGTTCGGTTATGCGTTAAAGTAGTCGCTGGTCCTAATTCTCGAGTCGAACTCGAGAAACGTAATTCTCAGCTCGATACGCAGAATGGAAAAAGGAAAAGAAAAAGGAAATTAAAAAAAAAAAATAAAATAAAAGACAAAAAGAAGACCTGCTGAGGCGGGAATGTCTGTTGAGAAAGTACGCGAACGCCGTCCCTCGCTTTATCACACGATCCAAGTCTGCGAACGAAGGCTTCCGAGAGAGTGCCGGGAGAACCTCGCGCTTTTTTTTTTCTTTTTTCCTTTAAGCTCTTTCACAGGTGTTTCTTTTTCTCTCCTCGTTTTCGCCGTAGGATGGAACCCGCCCTCGGGGATGATCTTCACTTCGAACGGCAAAAGGTCGAAAGTATGCGGACATCCTCTGACCTTGTGCGCGCCGAGCGGCGTGTGACAATGGGAACCCCCGATGCGGTCGTGCAACTCTTCTCCCCGCGCATATTTTCCTCGTTCCCGCGCGTATTCCTACGAGGCAGGTCATCGCGTTCCGTTCCATGTATTTTCTTCACGGATATACTGGGGGCCTCGCACGCGGGACTTCTTGGGTATGCAAGCGCGTTGAAGGAAGGTGCGCGCTTCTCGGAAAGTCGGATTTTTATATTCTCCAGGCTACACATCGATCGCGGAATAACGTTCGCGATGATCAGAGGGCTTCACCCACGATTGCGTGCGAATCGTACGTTTCGCACGCAAAGTGGATGAAACACCGATAACGGTGATGCAGGCCAACAAACTGGTTGGCATCGAAAGCGGCGATTTTTTTTTCGCGCCGATTCAATAAGAGATAAAATAATATATCTCGTCGCTCATTTTGATATTTTCTTAATGGATTAATTATCACGATAATTCACAAGTGTAAACAGACGAATTGAATCGCAAGGCCAACCAGCCGCGTGATTCTAATTAACTGTTCATATATCAGATGGTAAAAATAATTGAACCGCCTCGTAAGCATATGCGCGAAGCAAACTTTCGCGTATTTTACGCGTATCTGAAAACTCGGAAATCTCATTCATAAAATAAAGGATCCGGTTTTATTTTTCTTTCTCAAATTAACCTGAACTTTTTTTTTTTACGTGAGAGAGTGCGATCGACAAAAAGATAATATAATTAAAGATATATATTGCATAATTTAAATAAATGAGAAAAAAACAAGGCATCTATTATAAGAATTGAAAGTCCAACTTGGATTACTCACTGCCACATCATGGAATCGCGATTTGCTAAAATGAAATAAATAAACGATAATATAATAAGAGTCCGACGTTGGAATCGCGAATTTTCGCTCGAGGAAATCTAGGAATGCGCGAAGTAAAATGAAGGAAACGGACAAACGTAGAAAACAAACGGAATGGACGGCGATATAAAATCGATGGGAAACTCTCCATAGGTGAAAGGATCCGAAGACGAGGAGAGTTCAACGCGAAGACGAGGAGAGGCAAGGAGAGAGCGGCGAACTGCGCGCTTTGTCTTCATCGCAAAACTCGAATGGAAGCGTGTTACTCGCGCGAAAAAGAAATGGCGAGACCTAAAAATCTTGTCCTAACTATTCAAGACTCAATTGCACCAACATTGCTGATAATAGCTTGATTAACCCAAGGTGTTATCTCAGAATCGGGAGAGCAGAAAAGTTGACTTAAATGCTACGTCAAAATGCTACGATAAAAAATCAATTATTATCTACGAATTTAATAACCTATAAATTTGACTAATTGTATCTAAATATCTATTAAATTAACTATAGATGGAAAACAAGGCGTTTTCTCTTCCCGACTCAAACCATTAATGGTCCCGATTGACTTGTTTATTCGCATACAAATTCTAAAGATCTACGAAGTTCAATTCGTAGAGCTGATCTATCAATCAATTCAGAACACTCCTGTTTGTCCGCTATAGTGAACTCGAATTTAAAAATTAATTTGAAACTAATTCCGATTAGTTTAATTTTTCTTTTTAATTTATATAAAAAAAATATTTAAACAAAAATTGAAGAAAATACAGTACAGAAAAGATCAGCGGACATTAATCAAGAATTCCAAGTCAGACAATTATCGGTGTAATTCAGCCTCAAAAAAAAAAAGACTACGATTCTTCCCATCCTCGTCTTATGTCCACAACGGCGATATGGCTGTTTCCTTCTCTCACTCTCTCTCACTCTCGTCTCTCTAATCCTGAGACGATCCTACCGTTCGCTTCCTCCCTCTGTCGGGCAGGATATTATCGCTCGCGGAGAGAGACGAGAATCCCTCCGGAGGTCACGTCCGGAAGCGTTCCTTGAAGAAGAGTCCTTCCCTTTGCGTTATACATTTTCCTTGCCTTGGAGCTTGGTCGCGAGATCGGCAATCAGCTGCTTGTAGACCAATGGATCGATGTTCTTGCCGAGTTGATAAAGAATGAACCAGTCACCGATCTGACACTTGTCGCTGATGATCTTGACTTGGTCGTGCGGCGAGAGACGCGAGCGTGCCCGTAGGAGTACCATTCGCAATTTCGGGCTGACTATCACCGCCAAGCGATAGAGCAAACTAAGACCGCTCAGAGACGCCAGGCCGATGAACCAGAACCAGATGAACACGTAGATCTTCTCGTTGACGATGTTGAGCGGCAACACGCAGAGACCGTCGAATTTTTGCACCGTGCCGGACGCACCATATTTGTGGAACGTGCACTTAGTCACCTTCGGGAACACCCTGGACATAGGGTCGATGCGGTCCTCCGGTTCCATCTCCGTGAACTTGATGACGTCGGAGCCGTACGTGGTAAACTCGCCGTCCAGGAAAAAGTCTATGAAGAAAATCTGGCCGACCACGTTGACGAAGTTGATCAACTCGCATACGAAAAAGCGGTAAGCATAGAAATTCTGCGAATGCAGATTCGAGGTGAAATAGTCGACCAACAATTTACGTCGGTCGCTCTTAGAATCCTCGCTGACCACCGGACAATTGAGATCCAGCACCAACATCTTGATCCTTCCGCCTTCCCACGTTTTCCACAGATAGCGAGGAATGTAAAAAAGGATCGCTTGGAAGAAAAGGGTGAAGCATACCCACTGATAGTACTTATGGTATTTGATCTGGTCCTCGCCCTCGACGTGCATGGCGACTCCCGGCTGTACCAGGTCTTTGCCGACGATGCCGGTCCGATCCGGGATCGTGAAGGTCGAGTAGATCCAGCAATAAGTGTCCATCACGTGGAGCGGGATCTCATCGACGATACAGTCGATCGGGTCGCCGATGTATTGCCTGGAGGTTACCAGCAAGGAGAAGACAACCAGTAGGATCACGGTGGCCTTGTAGTGCAGTCGAAACACATTGTTGTCGATGCATACCGAGTCGAGCTTCAGCAGCCCCTTAACCGAACCGAACACGTCAAACATGATGGCGGTTGTGCGTCGCGCGCGTGTTACCTTTGCTTGCTCTTTCTTCTACCGGCACTTCTTCGTCCTAAAACGTGCGCACGCACGTCCTTTAACACGCGCGCGCGTAACTGATGCGTCCGCTCGCCGACCGGTCCGCTCGCAAACCGAATTCCCTTCGAACGATCCACCCGGTCGCAGCCTCCGCGAACTCGCGACACTCGTCTCGTCGTGCGCGTTCGAGCCACGCTCGGCAGCTTCCGCGCTCTGCCTCCTTCTCACTCACGTAATGCCAACCCCTCGATGATAGCGACAGCGCGACAGCGACCACGGCGGTGGTGGTGGCGGCGGTTGTGGTGGTGGTGGCTGCTGTGGCGACGATCGAACGTTAATTCCTTCCTTCTGTCTCGCGTGCGTGCACGTGCTCACGCTCTGTTGCGCCCGTACTACGCGGCGGACGACGGCGGACGGCGCTCGGCGATCCACGTTCACGCATGCAGCAACGGCGGGCCACGCTATCGTCGCGCTCGCGTCACTACACACGACGTTACCGAGCGTCACCGAGCGGCTCTGTCGTAATGGCCGCGCTCGAGACGCCGTACGCGACACAAGCACGCGAGGACACGGCGCGTTCCACGGCGAGCTGCTCCCTTTTCCTTGCCTCTCTTTCTCTCCCTAGGCCTCCACCTTTATAGCTTTCTCCGTTCCACTCGCGCGCTCCGGACGACTCCCTCCTTCTCCACCCTGCAACTTACTTAGGCCGAGGACCGAGAACTGTTCGCTGCTTCTGCGGCGCGGCAGGGAGACTCCGTCCCCTCCGCCCCTCCCCCCCTCTCTACACGTCTCGACTCACTCCTGCTACTCACCCTCCTAACATTGTCCTTCCTCCTCTCTCTGCCTCTCGCGCGGTAGCTTCTCGCTTTAATTCGTCGACGTTCGGCGTACGCTCGGCCATTCTCGGTTTCCCGTCGTCTCGTGGCGCGTTCGGTAGACGTCGCCGAGCTTCGGGCGTCGTCGTTCGCTTCAGCGCGCGGCGATGTGACTCCTCGCATGGTTGTTACCATGGCGACTGGCTACCGATGCCGCGGGAGCGTGAGATTCTCTCGAAGCACTTTGATCCGTCTGCATCGATGACCAGTCGTGATCAGCGCGAAATTACACTTAATTTTATCTTTTCTCATTTTTATTACCAGAATTATTAAAATGTACCTTTATCATTAAATCGTTATAGATTTTAAGGTTGAGTTTAGTGATTAATCGGGATTAATTCCAATGCGACATATGCAAATTCAACCAAGACTCGGAATTGCTTCAAATTCGCATTAACTATAAATATCTAATCTTTCCTTTATTTCTGTTTTAGAAATTATATATATATATATATATATATATATATATATATATATATATATATATATATATTAATTCAATTTTAATAATAAAAGAAGCAAATTGATATAAAATCAGATTTTTATGAAACCCTAATTTATATTTTTTTAAATTATGAGAGTAAAGGAATATATAAAATTTAATTAACATTGCAAAGACGAAGGTTCATCTTTGAATTTTATCAATCATTTGTACAAAGCAACGAAAAGAAAAACAAGTGAGAATCATGTCAAATTTCTCATATATTTTCGAAGAATTCGCAAAAAATATTAATTTTTCTAACATTTTCTTCTATAGGTCAGTAACATAGAATTACGTTCTGACATAATGAAAACGAGTGAAAATTGTACTACTATACCTTTTTTTTTACGCGCGCAGCATTGCGTGACAAAGCGTAAGTTCGCATGACACAATGATAATATCTTTATCCAAACTGGCTTGTTCCGCAAAGCTCTCATGCTTTGACATTTACTCTGAGAGACGTGCATGGATTTTATAACGTAAATACAGATATGCACACATAATTAATATGCGCAGTAATAGCATATTATGTATTACGATAAATAAAAAATGAGTAATGATAACAATTTTCAAGCTTATGAATTCGAAGAATCTACCGAATTTCTTTGTTTTTCTATTCTTCCTTTTCTCAATAAGGAACTTGCTAGAAGGCTTTTCTTTCGTCCAGAAGAAAACAACAAGCTAAACCTTGTAGGAAACTAGATTTAGGTTTTCTTGCCTGTTGGTCAAAGAAAAAATTTTGTGCAAGCTAGAAAACCTGAATTATAATTTGCTATAATATTCAATTGACTTATTGACTTTATTTCAAAAATATACTGGAAAAAATTTTTCAAATATTTAATATTACAAAATCTTGATTTATTAACTATTTAATAAATATGTACTATATAATTAATGAATACGTACATGAAGAATATAATTTTACTAAAATATTTAAAATTTGGCCAGATACAAATCTAAAAATAATTTTGTTGAAATGATTACGTAAAATATTCAAATTGTTTGCTATATAAGCAAAAATTTTACAGCATTACCCATATCTAACAATATTAATGGTCCAACAAAATTATTTTTAGATCTATATCAAATTTTTAGATACTTCAGCAAACTTGTTCTTTCCGCAAGCATAATATGTCCTTATCATGATATGTACTGAAAGACGTTATTAATATAAAGATATTAATCATTATATAATTATATAAATTAGTGTGCTAATTCCATTCGTCCTGTGCGCATCGAATCGTAAATCATTCACGATCGTACGCTGTTGGACGCTCTAAATATAGAGGTAGTGTGATGAAATCTGTACCTCTTCGCTGATTAATTATTCTCGCTAAATCTATATTTAACAGATTACCGCTTAGTCTATCAAAGACCGAGTAACGGATAAGGATAACTGCGATACATCGTGTTCGTATATCATCCTTCGCGATTAACGTCAGCGGAATAACGCTATCTGGCTAAGCAACTATCGTGTTACGTTGAGAAGGCATCAGACGTTAAAGCAGCAGCCAGCTGTTTGAGTCATCTCGTGAAACAGCGTCTGAATCGTCACCTCGTTATCTGCTGTTCAGGTAGAACCAAGCACGGTTCGAATGAATCAGCGAGCTGTTCCGTGAAAAAGACGTAGCGTCAAGAATGGTCCATGAAAAGCTCGCAAATTCAAACCGGTTGAATTCAATCAATTTAATTCTCAAACTTAGACAGGCAATATAATCGTTTTAACGTGACATTACTTTTCGAATATCTTTCGCGTTTATTGCACATTTCGTAAAATAAATGTATTATGCGATAACGTTTCGATTGCTTCAATTAGCGGTATAAAATATAATGTAAAATATAATATAATGTTTCATATAAAAAAATCTCTAAAAAAAATCTTATAATTTTTATCTGAATAACTTTTATTTAGTCTTTACGGTGCGTAAATGGCATTACGATATAATTGCGCGCTGATATCAGTTAAGACAGGTATATCTATCAACCGTAAAAAATGTAGATAAGGTAAATTATATACTATCATGCAATCTAGGAAATTACAATCGTTTTTATTGATATACCTAATCTGATGCGAGAGATAAAAAACCATAATATTACGATTATTGAATATACAATCGATATTACATATAGTATCGCTACGTGCGATCCCACATGTGCTTATGATTCAGACATACAGACTTCTATATAGTATAACAGAATATTTAATAAATTCGTATGACAAGATATGAGGCAATTTTACAGATAATTATATTTACTCTGAACATGAAGTACTGTATAGTAAATGTTAGTGAAATACTATATGAGGAAACATAAAACTTGTATAAATTAAAAATATGACATGTGTATGATTTTTAGTCCACACTGAATATAGCTTTAATAAAAATAACGATATAGCTTTAATAAAAACATCATTTTTAGTCAATCAAATTTTAATTTAAGAGAATTTTTAACTTGCTGAAGAAGGCTTAGTATAGTCGAAAGGTTCAAATATTCAAACTTGTCAGTTGACATGTTGTATTTTGATTCGTTTCCAATAAGACCAATAAATAAACGAGAAAATAAATATTTTTATTATATCAATGATACTTGTTTTGCTCGTTTATTTATTGGTCTTATTGTTTGTTTATTGTTAAGAATATCGTTGTTAACAGTTCAATGTAATAGAATATAATAGAAGTATACTTGGATATTTAAACTTATATTTGAAATTTCTTTAATTATATTTGTATCTATTCTTCATTTTTCTAGTTTAAAGTATAAAGAGCAAATTTTATAAAATCACTTAAATTGAGATTGATATTTGTTACTAACAAAAAAGTTATTTAAAAATTCTAATAATATCAAAATTATAATAAGACGGTTTACTTAATTATTTAAATAAAAATCTTCAATTACTCCCCACTCAAAAACATATTTAAATCTGTAGATTTGTTTGAATTATTATTTTGCAGCTTATAATATGTATTTATGCTTTATTGTAATGTACTAATTAATTAAAAAAAATTAATAATAACGTTTTAAACAAATTTTATTTTTTCAAATTTTGTAAGTAAAACAGACAGTCGATATTTTTGTATTATCTAATTTGTAGTAAATCGTTAGAGAAAGCTAATCAAGGCTTTTCTTAAATGCGATAACTTTTTCAAGAGTTTTTTTATACTTGCGACTTATACAATATATGTATACCATCATTAATACTCCTGTTATTAAATTAGGAAGTACATATACGAGAAATTATTTAATGATTTATATGTTAAGACGGTGCTGAGAAGAACAAAACTGCTTAACGTGCTCTTCGTTGCGATGAAAGTTGTTTTATTTTTTCGTCACACGTTTCATAGTTTCATAGTTTTCATAGTTTTTATTAGATTTATAAATTTACAATTCATTATGGATATCGTGTGCAAGAATATTTGAAATCTTACTAACTAAACGTGCGTTTTACACTTGGCTATGATTCACCAGGTGGGTCATACTTCAGCCGTAAATATACGTTCAGCACTCTCTTAGTGGATGCCCTTACTCCTTTCACTCCATAGAATTGAGGAGAGGACTTTGCATCTCGCTATTAACTTATATCATTTTCTCTATGGAACTGAATATATTAAGAAATATCTAATCATATTCTTCTAGATTAATATTAATTTAAATATGTGTTCTTTCGTTCTGGGTAATCTTCACTTAATCGAAAGTTCTGCCATCAACATTTTGTTAAATATTACGTATATTTTCAAAATTGTTTACTAACCAACATATTTTATCGTAAGATTATAAATATTTAAAAATAGCTCAGCCGTTATTTTTTACAGAGATTGTACAGTAAATTAAAGAGATTGTACAGTGTGCGATACTACTGAAAAAAATTCATTCTTTGAAAATATAGCTCAAGTATATAGCTCAAGTAGTTAAGATAGTGATAATGATAAGATAATGATAAGTATATGTTAATATGATGACAAAAATATAATAAGATAATGATAAGTATGTGTTAATATGATAACAAAAATATGATTTTATGATTATCTTATATATGTTTCAACGCAGACAAGTTGAGCAGAACATGTTAGGTATATGGGGGTTATTAAATTTTGTTGTAAGTGACATAATAATGATAATCATTATATATTTCATAAATAGGAAAGTAATGAATATGAACATTTTTATACCTGCCACGAAAATCATATGGCCAAGGACGGTCCTGTGGCGCAACGGATAACGCGTCTGACTACGGATCAGAAGATTCCAGGTTCGAATCCTGGCAGGATCGTGGATCTTTTTTCTTTAATTTATATTTTTATTTGATTTTAAAGACATCACTCTTAGCAGAATAGAAAGAGAGAGAGAAAGAAAATTATTAAATTTTATTAAAATATA